TGGCGGAGGGGCGGGCGCTACACGCACTCGCCCGGGAGCCTTGGTTGGAGACATCGATTTATGTCGGGCGTGTCCCTTTGCAGGGGGGGCTTTCGACGAAAAATACAAAAAAAAACTACAGAAATGCCCCAAAAAAGGATTTACAAAAAAATAGTCTCCAGGCTATGTTTGGACTATTGCTTGACTATTGTGGTGGTATCTTTTATTTTTCGTCGAAAATCCCATGTAGGGGGACAGGCCCGACTTAAACATAGATCATCGGCGCCCCTGGATACATGGATTGCTCCCCCCTGGGCTATTCGCCCCTGTCGTCGCCTCCGCTGGCATCTCGGAGCCGAGAGGGCCGCGCGAGAGGGGGAGAGCGAGAGAGAGCGCACCGAGAGCAGGGCAGAGAAAGAGAGAGAGAGAGCGAGCAGGGCTCGAGCCGGACAGCGCTGTCCGTTCTCGGCGCGTCTTCGTCGTCCCTCGCGCTTCTGTCTTCGCTCCAGCGGCGGTGCAAACGAGGAATTCAGAACGAGAGCAGCCCGCGAGATCGAACGGAATTCGAAACGCGAGCAAAAGAGGAAGTCGGAACTCGGAACAAGATCGCCGAGACACCGTCTGGCTCGAGCCCTGAGGGCGAAGGAGAGAGAGAGAGAGAGAGAGAAAGAAAAAACAAAAAAAAAAAAAAAAAAACGCTGTAGGCACGTGATTTGCAGTTTCCTGTACCAGTCGTAGGTTGTAGTTTCCAGTGTTACAGTTCTGCTTCTTGCTGGTTACTGTAACTAGTTGACTTCTTGCTGGTTACTGTAACTAGTTGATTGACCGCGCGAGGGGGGGGGAGGCCCAAACAGGATTTTTAGCCTCACCTGGGCGCGTTGTCTGAATTGATGGGGGGGCTCGAAATCGCCACCCCTCACGCAGATCCGCGGGGTCAGGGTCCAAAACCACATGGGATTTGCCACATTTCTGAAAATCGGTGCCACCCCTCACGCAGATCCGCGGGGTCAGGGTCCAAAAATACATGGGATTTGCCACATTTCTGAATTTCGGTGCCACCCCTCACGCAGATGCGCGGGGTCAGGGTCCAAAAACACATGGGATTTGCCACATTTCTGAAAATCGGTGCCACCCCTCACGCAGATCCGCGGGGTCAGGGTCCAAAAACACATGGATTTGCCACATTTCTGAAATTCGGTGCCACCCCTCACGCAGATCCGCGGGGTCAGGGTCCAAAACACACATGGGATTTGCCACATTTCTGAAATTCGGTGCCACCCCTCACGCAGATCCGCGGGGTCAGGGTCCAAAAACACATGGGATTTGCCACATTTCTGAAATTCGGTGCCACCCCTCACGCAGATCCGCGGGGTCAGGGTCCAAAAACACATGGGGATTTCACGCACACGCAGATCCGCGGGGTCAGGGTCCAAAAACACATGGGATTTGCCACATTTCTGAAATTCGGTGCCACCCCTCACGCAGATCCGCGGGGTCAGGGTCCAAAAACACAGGGGATTTGCCACATTTCTGAAATTCGGTGCCACCCCTCACGCAGATCCGCGGGGTCAGGGTCCAAAAACACATGGGATTTGCCACATTTCTGAAATTCGGTGCCACCCCTCACGCAGATCCGCGGGGTCAGGGTCCAAAAACACATGGGATTTGCCACATTTCTGAAATTCGGTGCCACCCCTCACGCAGATCCGCGGGGTCAGGGTCCAAAAACACATGGGATTTGCCACATTTCTGAAATTCGGTGCCACCCCTCACGCAGATCCGCGGGGTCAGGGTCCAAAAACACATGGGATTTGCACATTTCTGAAATTCGGTGCCACCCTTCACGCACATCCATCGCAAGGCGTGGTAACCCAAACTGCGAGAACTCCCTCGGCCCTTTAATCGCAAGGTGTGGTAACCAAGCCCGTAAACCATACACGTCTTACCAATCGCCAGGTGTGGTAACCCCTCTTGTGATCAGTTGGTTTTGCTGATTGCGAATCGGCTTCGCATGAAGTTTCGATACTGCTTCACGACAGCGCCAAGGCCTCATGACTTAGCTCGTCCATGGCCCATTCTCCGAGAGAGGGGGCCGGCGGCAGGGGGCGAAGCCCTTACGGATACAAAAAAAAAACGAACAAAACAAAACAACAACAAAAAACAAACAATAAAAACAAGTGGGCAAGGGGGAAGAGAGAAGGCAGCGGGCACGACCAGAGAGGCCGGGGGGGGGGGCCGCGGGGCAGGGCAGCGCGGCGCTGGGCCTCGTAGACGAGGCGCAGCTGCGCGGGGCCACCGCCTGCAGCGCTGCAACGCGCGCGCGCGGGCGCCGCCGCCGCCCCCCACCCCGCCTTCCGCTTTGCCTCCTCCCCCGCTTCCTCCTCCTCTTCCTCCTCCGCCTCCTCCTCTTCTTCCTCCTCCGCCTCCTCCGCCTCCTCCTCCGCCTCCGCCTCCTCCTCCTCCTCCGCCTCCTCCTCCGCCTCCGCCTCCTCCTCCTCCTCCGCCTCCTCCTCCTCCTCCTCCGCCGCCGCCTCCTCCTCCTCCTCCTCCTCCGCAGGCTCACACGTTCGCACCACATCCAGAGCTCATACAAGGCACGAGAAAGGACAAAAACCCAGGAGACGATGCGCCGAAACTCCCTCCCAGCTCCTGACAGCATGGGCGGGTCACACACAGGCGATCCACACATGAGGACACACAGGCAAGAAAACGGCCAGGCCAATCACAGAATTGCGCCAACAAGCTACGTACAATCCCAACATGGGACCCTCCACGCATCACAGTGGATAAGTAGGCCACGTTCGGCACACATACACAGCGTTCGCGTCGCACTTGACTCGAAGGGAATACCCTTCCCCTTGATCCCTCCCCGGCCGGGGGGGGGGTCCAGGAGGGGTCCCGAGAGGGAGTCCAGGGGGGGGCACCGGGTCCCTGGGGGGTCCCTGGGGGTGCCGGGTTAGATACGACTCCCCCGGGGGGAGGCCTGCATGGGACCCCCAAAAAACCCAAAATGGGCCAAGAGTGCCCCAACAGGCCCCCAAACGGTCCAAGGGGGCCCCGAATCGCCGAACGATCTGTCCACAACGCCTTGACGGCATCCAGACGGCCCAAGAGCCATGCAAGACGCCCCAAGAGGCCTCCAGGAGCACTCCCAGGAGGGCCGCAAGAAAGAGGCCCCCCAGATCGCTGTGCCGCTTGCGGGTTTTCCCTTCCTCTTTCTCTCTTTCTCGTTTTCTCCGTTTCTCTCTCTCTCTCTCTCTCTCGCTTTCCCTCACTGGGGCGCGCGTGCCACTCTGGAATCCCCCGACGAGGGCATGACGCGGCTGAGGAAAATTTGAATGCTCGCTTTAGGGACCTTCTTGGCGGCACTCCTTCCACTCGTACGTCGAAGCTGCGTCGAACGTCTGTCGATTCGAACCGACCTCGAATCGAACCTGAATCGAACCTGAACCGAACTTGAATCGAGCTTGGGCCGGATCGCGGTCGAACTAGAACCGACCAGATCGGATGTTCGAGGAACATGTTGTTTGACTCTATATATATATATATATGCAAAAAAACATAGATAATAGAAGATCGTGCCCCAGACAATGTTTTACGATTTTTTGACATTCCCCCTGTAGGACAGGCCCGGATTAAATCTAATCCGAAAGTCCTAATACAGGAACTTTGGAACTCAGCGAGAACAACCCCTGGAGACTGTTTTAAAAAACCGGGATGACTTTTACAGCAGTCCCGGGGACTGATTTGAAGATTCAGAATGTTGAGAGACGATAGCGATGATGGTGATTCGTTTCACTGCGGTGACGCACCCAGTAGCTGACCACGCAGCCCACCAAAATGGTCAACGGATACGACGCACTGCCCGACGGAGCCGACGGAGTGCCCAGCGGAGGCCGCGCACTGCCGTCGGCCGCCTGCTCGCGGTCGCAGGGCCGCGACTGCAGCGTCTCAGCCGCAACTGCGGCGCCCTCATTTCGCGACGACCAGGGGCCCCTATCCCGCATCCCATCACTCCCAAGAGGGCCATGTCGCATTGCCCCAGTCCTGCCGGGAACCGCTGCCTCTCGTCGTTCTGCCGCGGTGCCCCTCGTCTGCGGCGGCGTTGGTGGGCGTCGGCCCAGCCGCTACTGCGACATCAGGGCCACGTGCCGTGTCAGCGTAAGTGGCGCCGCCGCCCCGTGTCCCGGGTGCGGCCCAGAGCTCTGCAGCTGGGGTTCCCTGGCCCCGCTGGTGGTGGCCCTTGTAATGGTGCCCCTTGTGTTGGTAGCCCTTGTGCTGGCCGCCCTTCTGCTGGAGACTGTGTTCAAAATGTCGATGACTGAAAAAATCCCAGGGGACTGTTTTCGCTAAGTTTCATTATCAGGGCTTTAGGGCCAAGGAAATGTCACCTGGTCTGGCTGGCACGAGCCCGCTCACGAGCCGCGGCACCTCCCAGCCCTTTGGGCCCCGATGCCCCCCCGCGAGAGCGCGCGAGACAACGCAAGGCGGCGCGGGCGGAGCGGGTGCCGCACGACGTCCTGCCAGGCGGAGGGGTGACGAGGAGCAGCAGCAGCAGCAGCCACGGCTGGACCTAAACGTTGGTTGTCGCTTTGCGCTCGTTGTTCGTTAACCCACTGCCCCTGATAACCATCACCCCGCGATAATACAGTTCGGGGGTCTGGCGGGGATACTCATCGATTTTCCCGGGGAAGTTACTGTTAGTGCTCAGCTATGACAATGATGACGATAATGATGACGATAATGATAATGATGATGATGATGATGATGATGATGATGATGATGATGATGATGACGATGACGATGACGATGACGATGACGATGACGATGACGATGACGATGATGATGATGATGATGATGATGATGATGATGATGATGATGATGGTGATCCTGGGCGCTCGTGTAAATTGACATCGTAGAGCTTGGCACAAGACTGACTCGAGAGATCTCGAGGCTCGTGGATACAACTTGCCTGCCACACTCTCGTGATTGCGGAAGCTGATATGGTGAGACCACCATGGCCATGCTCAGCGTGTTTGATACTGTTGCTAGTCAACATGAGATGATAGCAACTTCGATGCGCAACTTCCCCGGTGGATTATCAAATTCGGACTCCGCGCCCCTCTCCACAATTAAATCCGATTGAACCGGGATAAGAAGATAGAGGGGGGAAAGGCGGTATGTTTCATTGTCCGGGGCACTCGATTATGTTCTGCCTGTTTTCCTGCACATCCATGCCCAAGCAAAAAAACAAAACACAGCCGAAATCCAGAAAAGCAGCGTTTAGGTCCAGCCCTGGCAGCAGCAGCAGCAGCTCCACAGACCCCCATCGAGTCATGAACAAATCACGACGGTCAATTTTCCCTATGTTCGTCCACTGGGGGCCCTTGCGGGCCCTCGGGAACGCCAAAAAGAACTCAGGATGAGAAACTGGTCCCGGGTGATAGGTCAAGAGCTCTTGGGGTCCACTTATTTTCCAAACAAAACAAAAGTCGGGGTCTGGGTCCAGGGAGCGGGGGAAAGAAGATGCTACTCCCCGGACCTCTGCCGGGGAGCGTCCTGACCAGAAATTTCGAGGCGAATCCAGCCGTGGGGACGAAGGCTCCCCAGATCGAGCAGCCGTACTGGCACCTCTCCATCCCCTGAGGAGAGAGAGGATGGCAGACCTGGGCTGGATCGAATCGCGAATTCGGATCGGGAACGGATCGGATCGACAGCAGATCTTCCCACATCGGATCGAAGTCGGGTCGCCGCGACCAGCTCTCTGGCCGGCTCCAGCCGACGCCGGCGAATCGGTCCGAATCGAATCGGATCAGAATCGCTGCCCCAGCATTAGGTCGGGCACGTCCTCCTACAGGCGGATTTTGGACGAGAAATGACAAATACTGAAAAACTGTTCCAGAATGGCCAAAAATGAATCCAAACATCGTCCCCCGACTATTTGTTTCCCCTTGTAGAGGGGCACGCCCGACTTCACCCCAGCAGGCAAGTCGAATCGCATCGCGTCGCATCGTAAGGCGGCCCTGGGGTGGCGAGGAAGCAGCTGAGCAGGGACCTGCCGTGCCCGCATTCCGATAGGCCTACCACGAAATGTCCGCAGAACCCAAACATGTTCTAAGAAAAAATGATCCCAGTGCGACGCTACCTAGGAGTTGGAGCCCCTAGAAAAGCAGCATTAGTAGTAACAGTAAAGCTAAGCTAAAGCGAAGCTTTAGCTAAGCTAAAGCTAAGCTGAAGCTAGGCTAAAGCTAAGATAAAGCTAAGCTAAAGCTAAGTTAAAACTACGCTAAAGCTAAGCTAAAGCTAAGCTAAACCTAAGCTAAAGCTGAGCTAAAGCTAAGCAAAAGCGACGCTAAAGCTAAGATACAGCTAAAGCTAAGCTAAAGCTACGATAAAACAAAGCTAAACCTAAGCTAAAGCTAAGCTACATCTAAGCTAAATCTAAGCTAAATATAAGCTAAAGCTAAGCTAAAGCTAAGCTGAAGCTAAGCTGAAGCTAAGCTGAAGCTAAACTAAAGCTAAGCTAAAGCTAAGCTAAAGCTAAGCTAAAGCTAAGCTAAAGCTAAGCTAAAGCTAAGCTAAAGCTAAGCTAAAGCTAAAGCTAAGCTAAAGCTAAAGCTAAAGCTAAAGCTAAAGCTCCTAAAGCTAAAGCTCCCAGGGGACTGGGGGAACCGCTCCCAGGGGACTGGGGGAACCGCCCGGGGCGGGTTGCACTGCCCGGCCCCTTTAAGCTACAGAGTAAGAACCCTTCTAGGCAGAGCCTAGGTAGGGAATTAAGCAATGTCCCTAGAACATAAGCCCGATGTTAAAACGAGACAGCCCCAGCCAAAAATGTTCTGAGAACCTTTCGTGCAGACCACAAAAAGTCCTTAGAACATTATTGGTGGGCCTACAGGCGAGCCTGAACTTAAATCGGGCCTGTCCCTCCACAGGAGGGCTACTCCAAAATAGTAAAAAATAGTCTGGGGACTATGTTTTGACTATGTTTGGGCATTTTCAGTGTATTTTCTTTGCATTCTTAAGTTTTCGCCCAAGATCCGCCTGTAGGGGGACAGGCCAGACTTAAGCCTGGACGCTTCGTCACTGCTTGAGGCAGGCGAGGGGGCACCCGCTCCCCCCACCCCTGCCTGCGGACACCTCGGCCTGCAGCGAGGGGGACAAGAACGGCTGCAGGACCGGCACCGCCCCGTCGCCCGGCAGCTCGACCTCCGCGAGGGCGCCGCCACCGCTGCTCCTCCTGCCTCCTGTCTCCTGCCTCCTCCTCCTCCTTCTGCTCGTGCTCGTCCTCCTCCTCCCCCTCCTCCTCGTCCTCCTCCTCCACCTCCTGGCCTCTCCTCCTGGCTCCTCCTCCTCCTGGCTCCTCCTCCTCCTCCTGGCTCCTCCTCCTCCTCCTGGCTCCTCCTCCTCCTGGCTCCTCCTCCTCCTCCTCCTTGATCCCTGCCCGTTTCTGCATACGTGAGATCAAGGTGTTGCTCTGCAAGCGAATCAAGCAAGCTGCATCCAAGGCAGCATACTCCAGCTGCTCCTGCGACAATGGGCGGCGATCCCAATCCGATGTCTGCATACGTTTATCCAGTCTAGCCCCTAGGCATCGCATCACAACTCTGCTCAAGCCGGGCTGAGGGCCGAGCCCCCACTCAACCTGCTGCAAGTCTGTCCAATGCAAACTGCTGGGTGTTGCAAGCTTCAAGTCGGGTGGAAGAACTCCAGCCGCCACCAACAAGCGCAGGTCGTTCCGCGGAGAGAAGGTGAGCACCTGGTGGCTCCTACTTCTGGAACGTGGAAGGATAAGACTCCGACATGCTTGTGTCGTTGCCTGCGATGGCCGGGACAACATGTCGATCAAGTAAACAGATGGTTCGCAAGCGTCCCCGCCGTCAATTGCGAGCTGAAGCAAAGATAGTGGCTGAGGACCGGAACCCCACTCAGCATCCATGGCGATCGTGATCGACTTGCCTGACTTGTGTAATGCTGCCGCTCGTCGACAAGCTTCTTGGAATTCAGCCTCTCCGTCCAAGGAGTTGACCAAGATCACACGTTCCCCACAGAGCTTCAACAATGGAATTGAGTGGTCAATCAGCAACGGCGTGGTCTCATTTTGCCGACCTGCCCTCTGCGCCACAGCTGGAGGCATGTCGTCCTGTGCAGATTCGCGCGAGGATCGACGGGCACCTGCACACAAGGATATACAGAATCGACATGGGAGCAATCCAACAAGCCATGGGTGCTGTTTCCATGGCCACGTCTTGATCCCTTTTGAGGGCATGTTCAAATGCGGAAGGTTGAAGGTGACAAAGCCATGATCGCCACTCCCCTCTGGTAGACCCACGCCTAAGCGAAAACGATGCCAATCCAAACGGATGCTGTGCCCACGCACATCCCGTGCAGTTCCTGCAGCAGGTGCGAATATCAATCCAGCACCGCAGGCGTTGGGGTAGTAGTAATAGAACGATGAAAATCCGCACAATACTGCAACAAGCTCAATGGCTGGGTACACAGAAAGATAGCAGACCCAACCAAGGAAGGCTGCAATGAAAGACGCTAAAGGCATATTTGGGGGACGAACGAGTTTTCTACGCAATGCGTCTTGCATCGACATACCATGGCGTCGGCCCACGCGAGCGGAATAGAGAACACTGACACAAACAATATAAGCACCTGCCACGAAAGGGTGCACTGCAGCGCAGCAGCCACGCAGGGCGGGCAGCACCGACGTAAAGCCCGGCACCACTGCTCGACAGTTATGCCTCCAGCGTGGGCAGTGGCTCTCTAAGGCCCTGCGTCCACACGTGGCGCTGGTGAAGGAAGACATGACAAGCCGTAGTGGCATCAGGAGTGGATTGTTCGTAGGGCTCTGGATACATGCTGGCTTGAACCAGGATCGCTGGAACTGACATCGATGTGGATCGTCGCAGCTGGCGCCTCTGATTCAACGGATGTCTGTGGTTGACCCCCTTCGCGGGTAGCGTCTCTGGCCCCCCCTCCAACCTCGTCCTCATCCTCTTCATCTGAGGGGCAACGATAGGCATACGGGGGGGATGCATCGACCTGGAATCGGCGACACATCTCCGACAGATCGGCGATAGGCCCCCGATAATGAATCCGCACCTTCCTCGGCGGGGTGGGGCTCTCGGGCCCCTACCGGCAATCGGTGGGCGATTGGGGGTCGATGTCGTTGTCCCCGATAATCCCAGGCCCCCGAGGGGCCCACAAAATAACGACCTGGGCCTCTCGCCCCCGCGTGTCGAAAAGTCTCTTCTTCACGCCGTGTCCGTGGAGGGTCGTCCTGGAGTCCTCCGATGCATCTCCAGGGCCATGCCCGGTCCCCCACAGCCCTGCTGTCCCTCACGATGCCCGTCTGACCTCACCGGAAGCCTCTCCCGAGCAGTCCCGCCCCCCGCTCCCCCGAGACGATGGAGGCAACCCCGCTTTGAGGGGCGTCCAATCGGCGCCAAATCCTCCGAAAAGTCACGCTGAAGGGCTCTGCACCTACGCCCCGTGAGCAGTGGCAGAAGCAGCGCTGAAAGCCTGGTCCACTCTGATCCTATCGAAGACGATGCGGGTCTTACCCCACAAAGAAACAAAAATTCGTGGGGACTTGGAGCCCTTCGAACCAATGAACCATGGCTTCGGAAACACAATGTGCATGGTAGCGCATCGATCATGAAAACCTCCGCTTAGTGCGCGTTGTCATATTCATTGTTTTGCCGGTGGGCGCGGGCCCTCGCACCCCCCCTCCCCCCCACTCATGGAGTTGATCTTGGGTGTTTTGGGCGCCTGTTTCAGGCAGGTGGAGCCTCCCCCCACAGGACGCACTGTCGCAAACAGTCGCACTAAGCAGAGTTCTGGATCCAGATCCCCCCCTCTCCACCCCTTCCGCCAAATGCCAATACGCCGAATAAGAGAACGCTTCCTATGGATCACGTTTGTGACTGCCTACCAAGCCACCACAGCCCAACCCGAAGACCACAACTTCGCCCGAATTGCGGGTTGAGGGGGGGGGGACGGGCTTCATAGGTGCTTTTTGAATGTCCCCCGAGCCCACCTCACTGGAAATGGGGGGCAGATCGGGGCCTTCGGGTTGGGCTAGGGTGGTTCGGTGGGCGGTGAGTTCGGTCACTGGCGTGGCGGCAGGTCCAGCCGATCCTGGAGGAGGACCCGACCACATGCAGCTGTGAACACTGCCGTTGCGGGTAATCGCCTTCTGTGGAGCTCCCTCGTGGGCCACGACGAAACATGTGAGGGGTGTGCCGAATCGGGTGCGGGTACGCCAGGCGGACTGTGCCGCTGGGGCAGGGTCCGACGGAGCTCCCTATGGGGCCACAAAACATGTGAGGGGTGTGCCGAATCGGGTGCGGGTACGCCATGCGGACTGTGCCACTGGGGCCCTCGGTGGAGCTCCCTATCAGGCCACTAAGCGCGTGAAGGGTGTAACGAACCAGGTGCGGGTACGCCATGCGGACTGTGCCACTGGGGCCATCGGTGGAGATCACTATGGGGCCACGAAGCGTGTGAGGGGTGTGCCGAATCGCTGGGACCTTCGGTGGAGCTCCCTATGGGGCCACGAAGCGTGTGAGGGGTGTGCCGAATCAGATGTGGGTACGCCATGTGGACTGTGCCACTGGGGCCTTCGGTGGAGCTCCCTGTGGGGCCGCGGAACGCGAGAGGGGTGCGCCGAAACGTGACTGGTGGTGGTCGTGATGCTAATGCTGATGTTGATGGCGATGGCGGTGATGATGAGGATGAGGATGATAATGAGGATGAGCAGAAGGATGAGGATGCGGATGAGGATGCTGATGATGATGATGGTGATGATGATGCTGATGATGATGGTGAGGATGCTGATGATGCTGGTGATGATGATCATGGTGATAAGTGTGATGGTGATGGAGATTATGATGCTGATGCTGATGCTGATGCTGATGCTGATGTTGATGCTGATGCTGGTGAGAATGCTGATGATGACGATGACGATGACGATGACGATGACGATCATGATAATGATGATGCTGCTGCTGCTGATGATGATGGTGGTGGTGCTGGTGTTAATGACGATGATAGTAGGAGGAGGGAGGAGGGCCAAAGGGGGAGGAAGGAGGAAGGAGGAAGGCACGCAGGGCGCTCTCTCTCTCTCTCTCTCTCTCTCTTCAAAACGAGGACCCAGCACCACAGGATGGCTGGGAAATGCCCAGGAATCAAGTGCCAGCAGCAGACCCTCGCGTGAACAATGCATGTAGTTGCCATGCCATACACACGCAGAATGCTGCGGGTAAAGCAGGAAATCATTACATGTCCAAGCGCATTCGACATGAGCGTTCATGGAAGTGCACACGTCCAACAATTACCTGGAAGTGCGCGTGATGATAGATTCGTAGGCCCGCTGTGGCAACAGAAACGCTCCAACGCTCAATCGAAGCCCCCCTCAAGCCGCCAAGGCTTGGTGTCTCGGGTTGACCACTGGCACTGGGCCTCGAGGCACTCTCAGGGCTTCCTCTGGGGCGCTCAGGGTCCCAGAAGCCTCCGGGAGCCCCCCGCAGGCCCTTCAGCGAACAGACACTGGAGGCCTCCCAAATGGAGTCTGGAGTAGATAGGGTCGCTGGCCATCGCTCGGACGTCCACTCCCTGTGTTTTTGTTCGGTTTCGTGTGTCGTTTTTCGGCGGTGGACAAACCTCCCCTTAGTAGACTTCCCCTTAAAGAAAAGGACCTGGGACGCAAAACCGACGGACCCGGACCCGCAAAAATGACGGCCGCGACGCCCTCTCGCGAACCGAAAACGGCCAATTCCTCAATCGACGTGTCAGGGTAGGAGGTCTGTCCACCCCCGAGTTTTTCCGCCAAATGATCAAGGATGTTCCTCGATGGTCCTCGCCGAAGGGAAAATGCACACGTCCGAGCGATGCCAAGGTCGGCGGATCGCGCCGCATCGCCGATGCCTCGCCGATGACTCGACGATGCACCGGCGACGTCGGCGATGCGTCGGCGACGTCGGCGTGGAGAGAACATTGGTCTCCAGATCGCGCCGCAGCGCCGACGCCTCGGCGACGCGGCGCGACATCTGACCCCAGCTGCTCTGCCCCAATCGGGAGGGGGAGGAGGAGGGGGAGGAGGAGGAGGAGGAGGAGGAGGAATGAGGAGGAGGAGGAGGAGGAGGAGGAGGAGGAGGAGAAGGAGGAGGGAGGAGGAGGAGTAGGATCAGAGCCCCGAGTCATCAGGGCTGGGGGCCTAGAAACACTCCA